CCAAAGGTCTGCTCGAGCGCCAACACCCCCGCTCGAGCGGAGGGAAAAAAATTTCAGATCGTTACCGTAAAGGTCGTCAATTCCAGTTTTAAAGTCATAACTCAACAGATAGTTCTTCAACATTAACCCTTACTTCCTCTACGCATTTTGGAGTCATTACATTCCTTCCTCTTCTTCACACCCTTGAGTTCACTCTCTCACTCTCTTAGCTGAACTCACTCTCTCCTCCTCTCTCTCTCTCTCTCTCTGAAGCCAACTCTCTCAATACAAAGAACTAGAGGAGCAAGAGGAAGACACAACATTCATTCACTCAGCTGATATACACTACACCCACCTCACTTTTGAATCCAATACACGTGCACATACATGCACACCTCCAGCTCACACACAAGGAGTTTTATCCTCTACACTCACACCACAAAATGCTACAACATATGACACACTCAAACACATGTCGGACCATTGATGGAGTTAGATTAGGCACTAATCATACACAATTAAATCAAACGTAAGAAATTTCAATTTAACCATACCAAATCACATTTTTAATTACATATGCCATAAGGTTCTAAAAATTCCAATTGACATATTGGTGTAAACAATTTCGGGTTTGGATGCCGATAAGGCTTTAAATTAGCAATTTAAACCATAGAACATGAACAGATAATTTAAGGGTCAACAGATAGATAGCCAGATATCATGCAATTAACACATTAATCCTGTTATTCATTTAATCCACTCAATTAGCTTCCTTAATTACCGGTTAGTAACTAATTACCGGTCAGGGTTATTACAGTCTTCCCTCCTTAAAAGAGTTTGGTCCCCAAACTCGAGTTATCTTATATCAGAAAACAACTCCAACTCTCTACAAGACAAAAGCATAACCATGTTCACAAATAGGCTCACAACCCAAGACAGAATCATAATTCATATACAGAAGTTAGGGTTCGTATTTAACACAAAGTCTTATGCCCATTCAAATTCCAGTCTAGAACAGATTCAGATACATGTTCATTTTCACATTCTTGTCCAGATTATACTTGGTTGTCACATTTCTTGCTTAAACATACGTGGTGCATTCATTAGCACTAACAGAGCAGAACAGAACGCATAAGCGTAACATAACAGATACTGATTCATATACATATTCATAATCATTTCCATATTCAGATTTTGCAGAAGATCAAACGTGGTACACCCATTAGCTATCAGATGCATTTGGTCTAGAGACCCACATACATAGCCATGGTATTGTTACCCCCAGGTAAGGGCCATCGGCCACGGTATTCTTACCCCCGGGCGAGGGCCATCGGCCACGGTATTCTTACCCCCGAGCAAGGGCCACATGACTAAGGGTGCCACAATACTTTTCAGAAAATTGAACATTCATTCAGTATGCAACATATAACATTTCAGAGAGCAAAACTTATTTCATGACATAGAACATAAATATAGTTGCACACAACTTTACTGTATTATTACACACACTACTTTTATCAAGCACTTATCGGGGTTACAAATTGGTACTGGTCTCCTTTTCATAAGTAATTTCCCCCGTTAAGTTACAGGGATTTAATTTGTTCATTTTCGAGTCGATCATTCAGTCTTTGCTCAATTCGGTTCCCAATTCGGTTCCCAATTCGGTATTCCATCACAGTTAGTCCGGGTCATTCTGAAGTAATCATTCATACACCATTCATCAGTCTCAGTTTTCACAGATTCAACCATACTATGTGTCGATACAGAAGCAGTCATACTGATTACATATACCCCCGGACAGTCAGAGTTTACAATCAAACCAGTCTGTTGTCAACAGATTCCATTAGTTTTAAAATACAGTAACCCAGAAGTAATCATTCTCTTTGCCAAACAAATTCGGGGTCGTAACGGTAATTCCAGCGCAATTAAACACATGTCATTATACAGTATTCCCATATCTCCCAAGCATAAGGTATCAGATTTTATAGTCACAGTCTGCTACTGACGGTTCACATTCTTCCTAAGTGTTCAGACCGATTCAAACTTTCATTCAGTTAATCCCCCTAGCAACACAGCTTTGTCATTCCATCATAAGCAGTTCACAATCCCCTATAGTGTAATCAAATCAGATAACGGCTTTCAATAAGGGTCTCCTCAAATCAAATTAATAAAGGCTCTACCCGATCATCTCAGATGAAGTTCTACTCAGTCATATTAGATGAAGTTCTACCCAGTCATATCAAGTAACAGTTCAAAGCGTGAGTCATCAAATAGAAGTTCTACCAGTCAAACAAAGGTCTCATCAACTATAGTTCGATCAGATTAGATCAGGTAAAGGTTCTAGCCTTATTGTCTCCGACGAGGTACAGTAGTTCTATAGTTCTTATTCCATTTGCTTAGGTGCATAGTCAGCAGTTTTACGGTTGTCCTAAGTTCTTCGGCTCTCAGATCATAGCAGAGTTATGTATCACAGTAGTTCATATCGAAGAGTTCAGGTCATATACAATTTTACATTTTCCAAGTGAGTTCACATATGGGTGCACAGGTATATAATTGTTCATATCAAGAAGCAAGCACCACAGTCAATAGAACAATTTCCCAACTGAGTTCATGTAAGCATAAGGTACACAATAGCAGATTGTTATACAGAAGTTTCAGATTGGTCATACAGTCATTAAAGCATAGGCTCACTGGTCTAGTCAACGGTCTAGTCAATGTTCAACAATCACAGTCCACAATTCAGAGATTATCATATGGGGTTTTTTTTTTTTTTTTACTTATTCATACAATCCCAGAGTCATAGTCCCAACGGTCAAGTTATCAGCAATTAATCATATCAATCATTCCAAGCAAAGGTATAGTCATATATGTGCATGTTCAAAATCTAATAACCTTCCCAATACAAATTCACGAGTTCTATGTACAAATGAACACAAACAGTTTCTCCAGATATAATAATTAAGGTAACCAGTCATAAGTCTACTCAGTCTAGATACAAACGTATTTAACCAACATTCCATGCATAGGTATAGATATGTGTGAGTTTAACCACGTTTCATATACAGTCAATACTAGTGTATCTCCATATTTAGCAGTTCAAGCACAGTTTAACGGGTCTGTTACAATAGTTCATATCAACCAGTAGATCTCAAAATGTTCATTAACCATAGTTCAATCCCATCCATTCTAATAGTCTCATAGGCGAGGACATATATACATACAGATAAGAGTCTAGGATCAATTACCATTTAGGCATTCGTTCACAAATTCATAAGCAGAAGTTCATTCTTCCAAACTGACATGGGTTCTCAATTTTTCAGAAGTCCCACACACAAACGGTTCATGTATATAATTCAAGTTCATAGGTCTAATCATTCAATGATGTCAGCCCATACATAACGGTTCAATTCAAGTCATGGTCATACAGATTTCCCAAGGTAAAGTCAATCACAATGTGTTCCCATGTTCAATAGTTCTAGCATAGTTCAAGGGTCACACCTAACAACTCATATTAAATTTCCGCAATACGGTACAAAGATTCAACCCGACAAATTCCCATTGTTCACAAGTTCTAATGAATTCCAAAGCACAAGTAATTCGTTCAGTTTACAAGGTTCAATTATCATGGGTTCATAATTCTAACAATTCAAATTACCTAATTAACATGTCCACAATCTATATCATATCAAACTAAGAGACGAATGATTTACACATGATTTTCCATAAAAACGATTGCACATAGTTAAAGTAATACATGCGTTAGTCATTTCGGTGTTCTGAGCATTTTCTGGAACTAGGGTGTAGATTTAGGCTTTTTGTTGTTCGGATGAGTTCGCGGGCAAGATTTAGCCAAGTGCCCTTTCTGACCACATCTAAAACAAGCCCCTGACAGGCGGCAACAGATGTCCCAATGTTGTTTCCCACATTCTCTACAGACAGGTATATCATTGTTCACATTACTTCCTCGACTTTCTTTGTTCACAGTTATTGCGATTACACATAGTTAAAGTAATACATGCGTTAGTCATTTCGGTGTTCTGAGCATTTTCTGGAACTAGGGTGTAGATTTAGGCTTTTTGTTGTTTGGATGAGTTCGCGGGCAAGAATTAGCCAAGTGTCCTTTCGGACAACACCTAAAACAAGCTCCTGACAGACGGTGACAAATACCCCAATGTTGTTTCCCACATTCTCTACAGACAGGTATATCATTGTTCACATTACTCCCCTGACCTTCTTGGTTCACGGTTATTGCCCCAAATTTCTCATTCACGTTGATCATCGAATTACTTGACATTTCAACTTTCTGTTTCTTCTGTTTTGTTCTTTCGGGTTCAGTCGATGATGTTGATTTTGACATTTTCAAGGTTGCTATGTTTGCTTCGGACATTAAGGCCCTATCAAGAACATCCACGTACTTTGGTAATTTTAAGATGCCAACGCGGTCAAACACATCCAAGTCAAGCCCACCTTCAAATTTCCTAGCTTTTTTGTAGTCAGTGTCAATCATATGGGGTGCATATCGGGCTAACTCAGTAAATTTTGTTTCATATTCGGCCACAGTCATTTTGCCTTGTTTCAGTTGTATAAATTCAGATACTTTCCTATCTCAGATACATTGGGGAAAATATTTTTCAAAGAAAATTTCTTTAAATCTATCCCATGTCACACCCTCATTATCATTTCGGACTAACATCCACCATCTCCTAGCCTCCTCTTTGAGTGTGAAAGTTGCCAATAAATCTTTCTGTGCCTCAGTACACGGAAATACCTCAAATATTTTCTCAGTTTCTAAAACCCAAGCCTCGGCTTTTAACGGTTCAATACCCCCCAGATATTCCAGTGGTTTCATCTTATTGTATTTCTGTGTCAGTGTTATCATATCATAACTAACTGGCTCAGGTACACATGTTTGCCCTTGTTGCTGTTGTTTCAGATTCTCAGTTAAGGCTTCAACCGTTCTCTCTAACCGGCTAATTCCAACGTCAGAAGATTTAGATTCGTCTACATTTCTTATCCTTTCCATCGATCTACACATAAATAGGGTAATCATTATTCATAGGGAAAGTCCTCACTAATTTCACATTTCATTTCATATCAGACGTGTTTATACTTCCAGTTCGATTCAGACACAGTCACATGATCCCTTACTTTCATATATTCATGATCACATAGATTTCACCTTCGGTATTGAAATTAACATTACATGTTATTCCACTTAACTCATGGATTCATTTCCTTTACATTTTCAGTTCAAATATGTTCATATGTTTACACATGAAAATGCAATGTCCCTATTTCATTTCTAGGACATTCTATACCTCATATGGACACGTGTGTGCGATATAACTCGTGCTCTGATACCACTCTGTCACGACCCAAACCCGCCTCTATAGGTTTAGCGTCGTAACCGGCTAGTAATCCTCGGATTACCGAAGGCCTCTGAATAGATAAGCATATGATAAGGGGCTAGCGGAAGCAATATACAAAAATTATAAATGTCCAATGAGCTGTGTTGACTTATATGAAACAGAATATTTTAAAACTTTATATACATAACCATAAGTCAACCATACATTATATTATACCCACACACATTACAAATTCTTAAGTACAGCCAACAAAATTAAAATAAAGTCTCATGCATATACAGAACTAATCAAAACTTGAGCCTAAGACACTTCGGGAACCTCCTCGTGAGGCACAGTGGTTGGCTAACAACAGAACAGAACTCCAGGCAAAAGCCTTCGGGCTTGCACTCCAGAATGCTCACCTATATACATATATATACAAACACTGAGCTAAAGCCCAGTGAATAACATTAAGGTAAAGGGGTTAGTGAACGAATTCTGAACATTTCATATGTATAAAACAGATCATAGCATAATCATAGTCATCTCATATCAGAACATAATAATGGCATATCCCATAGAACATATCGAACATATCACATAACGTCTTCCGACTAGAGTAATCGGTTCTGGATACCGATTAAACACATATCACCACAATGAAGTGGCTAACGAGATCTCGTAAATGTCATGGACCCGCATTTTCATGCCGTCCCCTATGACTTGGGACTATCTATGGATGCCATAATAGATTTCAGAAAGCATAGCTTATCACATTTCATTTGGAACATAATTTCATATAAACGTATCTTTACGATAACGTTACTCACAGTGGTTCCTGTAGTTAGTCAGTCAATCTCCAGATGTTGACCTACAATCACAAAGGCACATAACACAACGTATCTTATCATTACACATTCAAGTGGCCAACACGGCTTAGCTTACATCACGTTGGGTCATGTTCATTCTTATCACGTGGCTTAGAACGCACACACCCTTGTATTCTTTTTAACTTAGCACATTCATTTCTTAGTGTGTTTCTAACCCATAACCTCATTACTAAGGCTTATTTAAGGCTTATGAATGCCTAAGATGCAATGAGGATGCCAAAACATGCCTTAGAACACTTAGACAAAATTTCTGAAAATTAGGTCCTCGCTCGAGCGTAGGTTTCCTCACTCGAGCGGACATGCAGAAATGGAACTACGCTCAAGCGTAGACTTACTCGCTCGAGCGGACATGCAAAAATGAAAGGGGTCACTCGAGCGTGACTTCCTTCGCTCAAGTGGCCGGCAAACTTGGAAAAAGTACTGGTTGGTCGAAAATCACGCTCGAGCTACAGCGCTCATGCTCGAGTGTATAGACAAGCGCCAAAGTGGTCGCTCGAGCGGAGAGTTCATGTTCTGAAAAAAAATACTGGGAGTTCGAAATCTCCGCTCGAGCGCAGGTTTCCTCGCTCGAGTGGACTGTAAAAATCTGGGTTTCTAAAAACAGAGCTTGAGCTTCAAATGTTGTTTTCATGGCTATGTTCATGCAAGGCTTGATCAAAACACTTGGAAAACGTTACTATAACACAAATACATGGTCCTTTTCAAACTTTTAACTCAAAGCTCATGGATTTAACAAATTTGAACTTGTAGGCTCATGCATGGAAGACCTTCAAACCATTGTTTTGATTTCCTCAAAAACATGCAAATGGTAAGTAACACACTCATGAATTCTGAAACTATGAACATGATGAAAGCTCATGCATGCAAGGACCTCACAATTTCAAACTCAAAGTGATGGGACCAGAAGGTTAATCACCAAAGATGCACATGCAAGGCACCTACAAACCTAAAGACCCACTCCTCAAGTTAATTTCGTGAAAATGGTTCAAAGATGAGTCAAAATCATGATGCATGGAAGTTAATTTGCAGAACATATGCTAAGGGTTCTAACCTAGAGCCTGATTCCAGATGTGTGGGAATGAATCCTCTCAGTTTCCTTCCTCTTCTTCACACCCTTGAGTTCACTCTCTCACTCTCTTAGCTGAACTCACTCTCTCCTCCTCCTCCTCCTCCTCTCTCTCTCTCTCTCTCTGAAGCCAACTCTCTCAATACAGAGAACTAGAGGAGTAAGAGGAAGACACAACATTCATTCACTCGGCTGATATACACTACACCCACCTCACTTTTGAATCCAATACACGTGCACATACATGCACACCTCCAGCTCACACACAAGGAGTTTTATCCTCTACACTCACACCACAAAATGCTAAAACATATGACACACTCAAACACATGTTGGACCATTAATGGAGTTAGATTAGGCACTAATCATACACAATTAAATCAAACCTAAGAAATCTCAATTTAACCATACCAAATCACATTTTTAATTACATATGCCATAAGGTTCTAAAAATTCCAATTGATATATTGGTGTAAACAATTTCGGGTTTGGATGCTGATAAGGCTTTAAATTAGCAATTTAAACCGTACAACATGAACATATAATTTAAGGGTCAACAGATAGACAGCCAGATATCATGCAATTAACACATTAATCCTGTTATTCATTTAATCCACTTAATTAGCTTCCTTAATTACCGGTTAGTAACTAATTACGGGTCAGGGTTATTACATATAACTTACTTTATGAATGGTTGAACCGTGGCTATATTGAATAAGACATACTGATGAGTTTGTGCCCAAGAAGTGTTTTCACGATAAAAGCTTGTGATTTCACCAACAGCACGACCCAGATTATCATCACCACTGTAGTTCCTCACGGGTCGATTAGATTTAGTTTCCACATCATTGAGATATTGTGCACAAAAATTCATGCATTCTTCCAGAAGATATCCTTTAGCAATTGAACCTTCTGGATGAGCTCTATTACGCACATATTGCTTCAAAGTAAGAAGATACCTCTCAATTGGATTGTAGACACCCCATTTTTGACTGACCTTAAGACTCAGACGTCATCGATCGAGCGCTCGGTGATATTGCATATTGTGCTCGTTTTGAGGTTTTAGAGTCTCGGCTGTGAGCCTTGCCTCTAGACTTCCAGACTCTTATGTACTTTGCCTCGATTTGCGAACCAAGTCCCGTTTTCTCCGTTTTCTCTTCCCGAAGGGAGGGAGAGGTCTCGTAGGCCATCTCTCAGTGGCTGTTGGCTATGTTTCGTGGTTGTAGGCCATTTTTCCTGTTTGGAGCCCGGTTTCTGATTTTCCAGAGCTGTCGGCCGTGTGCCTCGGTTCGGGATCGCTTAACCACCTCCGTTTGCTCCGGTTTTTGGTACACACCTTGTTTCCTCCCTTTTGAGGGACACTGTGGCCCAAGAGTCCAACTTCGTGGTCGAACGCCACTTCTGGTGCCTGGTAGTCAGTTTTTGGGGCCCCAGGCTACGCGTTTTGGCCCCCGAACCTTCGTTTTGCATCCGTCTTGGCCCATTTCTGGCAGGGGCCCTATTTTCATGGTTAGGAAGGTGGTGGTATGGTGGGAGGCCACCTTTTCCCCTAAAAAACCAGCTTTCCTTTTTGTTCTCTCTCCTCCAGCCGGTTTTTCTGACAGAAAGCTGGTTTTTCTCACTTTTGAGCCACAATTTATGGTTTTTCACACCACCATTGTGTTGTGCTCATCTGGAAGGCCACCAATATGGGTAGGCCGACCAGTAATTCTTCTTGACTCTTTTGAACCCCTCTAAAAAGCTGATTTTTCTCTCTCATAGGTCACTTTTTCTGTTTTTTCACCACATAGTTGTATTCTACTCATCTGGGAGGCCACCTTTCTGGGTAGGCCGACCAGCATTTCAACTTGAACCTTTTGACCCCTGGTCGGCCGACCAGGGGAGGTGGTCAGCCGTCCACCTTGGCCCTTTTAAACTGGTCGGCCAGTTTTGCCTCTGTGAGTGTGTTCCAGCTGTGCCTGCTGTTTTGCACTTGGCCCACTGTTCGAGCTTTTGACTTGCTTTTTGATCCATTTTAGGTGGTTTTGGCCCCTTGGCTTAGCTTCTATAGGAAGTTTGACTCTTTGGTCAAGCTTTTTAGCTTCCTCAAGAAGCTTGACCCTTTTAGGTTAAGCTTCTTTGAGAAGCTTGGCCCCCCTCCTTGAGGATTCTCCATGAAGCTTTATCATTCTCCCTCTATAAAACACACCCTCTATCTCCATTT